TTGAGTTGGCTTGGCTTGAGAAATTTTTTTTTGCAGGCACAAATTCCAAATGATGCATTGTAATTGATTATAATTAAATATAACCCATTATAATGAAAAAAATTCAAGTTTTGGGGAAGGTATTTTTCGCAAAGGGTCTGTTTGGTTATCATAGATCTCAGAAATATAATTTGGAAAAACCACACTATTGGAATTTCTAACTAGGTCAAAGAAGAGTGCTTATTGATATATTGCACAAAGTAATTGATTATATTGATATATATAATCAATTATATTACTTCAATATTAGAATAAGTGATTATTTTTCAATTATAATTGGTTATCAAATCTAAAGAAAAAATTCCGCAAATTTCATTGAGAAATGCTTTCTGAGCAACTATAGTTGATTACATTATTTATAAATACTTATATTTTTTTCAAAACAAATTTTATTAATTTACAACCATTAGATTTTAATTTTTTGTTGAGATTTATGTCAGAAAATCACAAATTCTAAACCAAGTCAATCCATATTATGCATGTAGCTTCCTTGGAAATACTTTTTGGAGAAGAGATACCAAACAGACCCGAAGTTTTTGCCTGGAATTGAACTTCAGGCAATATTATGGCCAACTATATAATGTATTATAGTTGACTATTTTTTATTTCAATCAATTATAACTAATTCTAAGTTGTTATGCATGCATGTTCAAAAAAAAAATTCTAAGTTGTTATAACCAAGTATAACTTTTTTTTTCTTTTTTTCTTTTTTTTTGTAGAATTTTGAGCCAAGCTAATAATTTTGATGCTGGCTTTCTGGGTTTTACATTTTTTAGAAAGTTAAAAACTAAATACACTCTTAGAGTAGGTCTAGCTGATTGGCTGATTAAAGTCAAGTGTAATAAATTTTTAAAAAGAGTCAATCCAGATTGGTTTTTTGATTGATTTCAAGTTAGATCTAACTTTTTTTTTTTTGGTACATAAGTTAGATCTAACTTTTGTCAACTAGACATGCAACAGACTCACTAAACCAAGGTTTTTTTTTTTTTTTAAGAAAAAAAATTGAATAATATATAAAAGGTGACCATCTCCTACCCACTAATTTACCATGTCCTATCTCATGCAACTAAACACAATTTTTGAATCTCCTAAACTATTCTAATTTTTTTTTTCTTAAGTTATATGATGAAAAACAATAGAACTCTTTTCCAAGCAGAGTGGTCCAAAAGGATGTAACTGCAACAGCAATACATGGGTGCATTGAAGAAATATAGAAAGAACAATAAGTTTGAAATTTCAACATCAAGTATCCTAGATTCGATCTCAAGAAAGTATAATATCTATCTCAATGTATTACAAAATCTATCATTCTAGCCTCAGTTACACTGGCCATCCTTGCTTCATGGATTTTTGTTATGACTCATGGGTACAAGGTTGAAAAGTCTTCCGAGTCAGAGGATCCATGGATGTTCATTCCATTCCAACCGCTCAACTTCACCATTGACAACATTTTGGAATATCTTAAGGATGAGCATGAGATTGGAAGAGGCGGCTTTAGGGTTGTATACAAGGCGGAGATGCCTAATGGGGAGTTGATTGCTGTGAAAAAGCTGAATCAAGAGCCAGCAGTGGACTCTTTTACAACGGAGGTTCAGATTCTGGGACATATCTGACATCGGAACATTGTGAAGCTAATAGGCTATTATTCCAATAGAAGTGTAAAACTGCTTTTATACAACTATATTCCAAATGGCAATCTTCAACAACTTTTGCAAGGGAGTGAGAATTTGGATTGGGAAACAAGGTACAAGATTGCAGTAGGTTCAGCTCATGGTTTGGCTTATCTTCACCATGATTGTGTACCAACCATTCTACACAGAGATGTCAAGTGTAGCAACATACTTCTTGATTCTGAATATAAGGCTTATCTTGCGGATTTTGGGTTGGCAAAATTGATGAACCCTCCAAATGACCACCTTACAATTTCTAGAGTTGCTGGTGCTTTTGGTTATATTTCCCCAGAACATGGATACAGAAGGAACATAACCGATAAGAGTGATGTCTATAGCTACGGAGTTGTTCTATTGGAGATACTAAGTGGGCGTAGTGCAGTGGAACTTGAGGTGGATGAGTGGCTGCACATAGTAGAGTGGGTGAAGAGAAAGATGAGAAGCTCTGAACCAAAAGTATCAATACTTGACACAGAGCTGCAAGGATTGCCAGACCAAATGGTGCAAGAGATGCTTCAAACACTAAGAATTGCAATGCTCTGTGTGAACTCCTCCCCCACAGAAAGGCCAACGATGAAGGAAGTGGTGGCATTGTTGATGGAGGTAAAGAGTGGTGAACCCTCCAAATGACCACCCACATTGGTTTGATGTCCATAGCTACAGCAAACTTGAGAGGCCCAAAAGGATGTAACTGCAACAGGAATATGTGGGTGCATTAAAGAAATATAGAAAGAATAATAAGTTTGAAATTTCAACATCAAGTATCCTAGATTCGATCTCAAGAAAGTATAATATCTATCTCAATGTATTACAAAATCTATCATATTTGGTCCTCCAAAAAGCTCCAGCTCAAATCTAATCAGCATTAGTTATTGGTGGGATAAAAAAGAAGAAAAAAAACAAACAAACAAATTGACCGCCCTTAAAGGCTCCAATACATTTGAAAATTAAAAGCTAACCTACACCTTTTAGTAGAGGGCGCTTTACTTCTGTTCAGCATTAGTTTTTTTACCTATCAGTTTAAAATGTCTCCTGCATCTAAGTCATTGACATTGTCCCTACAGGAGCTATGCAGATGAGTTGATGGCTGATATTAGCATATGGTTCCTTATTCACCTAACTGGTTTTAATGACATATCAACAGCTGGCATGTTAGAATAACAAATCTTTTGGAGTATAAACCACAACATACCAGGCATACTTACCATTTTGTCCAGAGTCCAAAAAGTTATCAATGTATTCATGGACAGCTAGCCAGAGATAAAGGATTCCAAAACCAATGCCAGGACCACCAAAGATATCAATCAAACTGTGCATACCAAGGTAAATCCTTCCTACAAGGATATGAAATTCAGGTTGGCAACAAGGAAAGCTACAAATGCTGTGAGGAATTTCCAGAGATTATTAAAACTTACCCACAGCAATAAGGCCCACAAACAAGCACACAAACGAAAATCCAGCAAGTTCCAAGGAAGCATATTCCCATTTTGTGTAGGACAGGGGATGGTATAGAAGGTATCTGAATGGATGAGTAAAGTATTAGAATAGCTACTTCTTCATTCCTTAAGTATCTGCCAACTAACAAATAACAACAAAACACACACACACACACACTTTGTTTATCACACATTCTTGGTAATATATTAGAACCCAAGCTTTTCTCTTTCCTTTCCATTTTTCCCAATCTGTCAATACAAGAGATCAGGAACTTGGCAATAAGAAATATGCCACATGACCAAGCTCTTGAGGGCTAAAGCATGCAGAAAAGTTTGTTTGAGGATCCATTATACTTAAAAGGCAAGTCAAACATCACCATAGCATTGAAGAATTGCCAATTTCTGAAAAAACTTACTAAGGATCCTCAGTCACAGCCATGACTCAACAAGAATTTTTTAAAATTCCAGCAAATTCTCACACAAACACAGCTAGAGAAAGAAAAAGAATAAAGAGCAAATTGTTAACATGATACCCTGATAAACAGACTGTGTTGAGAGTGTGAGGCTAGCTATCTGCTGTGTGGTAGAATCCTGCATTTTTTGACTAAGAATGCATGGAATAAAACTTAAAAGTGACCTGTATCTATTTGTGAATTATATGTAAATGGCCTATTGCTTTTAAATTCCGCATTTGCTTCCCATGGGTTTATGTTTTTATTAGTTTATCATAGATTCATCAATTATTAACGGCTAATTCTATTTAAATTATTAATACCTCATACAGTACTGTACATAAAATAAGTAAAAATACAATACCAGACCAATGACTTGTGGCTATGTCTCTCAGCTTTCCAATGCTTCAAAAATCACCTCAATATGATATTCGGAAAGTATGGCTGAAATGCAATTGCATACTGAAGCATCCACTAGTTGAATTAATTCTCATTAAGTTTATTCCTTAGTCTTCACCTATAAAACAATGAAATCAATATAAATTTAAATGAGATTAAGTCATAAAGAACACATAAAAATTAATTTTTAAGCCAAAAAAAGTATATAAATATATATAAAAATTAAACTAATCACTCTTTACCTCCATCAACAATACCACCACTTCCTGCATCGTTGGCCTTTCTGTGGGAGAGGAGTTCACACAGAACATTGCAATTCGTAGTGTTTGAAGCATCTCTTGCATCATTTGGTCTGGCAATCCTTGCTCATCTTTCTCTTCACCCACTCTACTATGTGGAGCCACTCATCCACCTCAAGCTCCACTGCACTACGCCCACTTAGTATCTCCAATAGAACAACTCCGTAGCTATAGACATCACTCTTCTCGGTTATGTTCCTTCTGTATCCATGTTATGGGGAAATGTAACCAAAAGCACCGGTAACTCTAGAAATTGTAAGGTGGTCATTTGGAGTGTTCATCAATTTTGCCAACCCAAAATCCGCGAGATAAGCCTCATATTCAGAATCAAGAAGTATGTTGCTACACTTGACATCTCTGTGTAGAATGGTTGGTACACAATCATGGTGAAGATAAGCCAAACCATGAGCTGAACCTACTGCAATCTTGTGCCTTGTTTCCCAATCCAAATTCTCACTCCCTCGCAAAAGTTGTTGAAGATTGCCATTTGGAATATAGTTGTATAAAAGCAGTTTTACACTTCTATTGGAATAGTAGCCTATTAGCTTCACAATGTTCCGATGTCGGATATGTCCCAGAATCTGAACCTCCGTTGTAAAAGAGTCCACTGCTGGCTCTGGATTCAGCTTTTTCACAGCAATCAACTCCCCATTAGGCATCTCCGCCTTGTATACAACCCCAAAGCCGCCTCTACCAATCTCATGCTCATCCTTAAGATATTCCAAAATGTTGTCAATGGTGAAGTTGAGCAGTTGGAATGGAATGAACGTCCATGGATCTTCTGACTCGGAAGACTTTTCAACCTTGTACCCATGAGTCATAACCAAAATCCATGAAGCAAGGATGGCCAGTGTAATTGAGGAGGCCAGAATGATAGAAATCAAAGCTGCAGATTTCAATCCCTTCCTTCTCGTGACACGTGAAGAACAAGTAGACCCATCAATGGATTGACACAAATTTGGGTTTTGAAGATAAGAATTTGCAGAAATAGTCTTGAAGAAAGGTGTTACAGGAATTGGGCCAGAGAAGTTATTATAGGATATGTTCTTGGGATGACTTTGGCCATTTGCAATAATTGGAGGCACAAAGGGAAGGCTTCTTCTCTGATTGCTGCTCTTGCTCCAAAAAAATTTGAAGTCTTTTTTCCCCTGTTTCTGTGTAGTGGTTATGGACACAAAAATGATGGCCCGGTGGTGATGAGGTTGGGAAAGTGTAGAGCCGGTGCTTATGATCTGAGAATGGTGATGGTGATTGAATTTGGGTATTCAACCGGAGAAGAATCAAGAGCTTCTTCTTCATTTTTCTGTAGGCAGATTGCTGAAAATGAAGAGCCCCTCTTGCTCCGTCGATGGCC